TTGCAGGCGTGAAGTTCATACCAAGCCGTGAGGCAGAAGTATTTTGAGTATTTAATACTGCTTGCATTACTGTGGCGTCAAACCAATCAAAATCTGTCTCCTTCATACTTCATATCTGTGAGCGAATGTCCCGGGAGCACTTCGATCGGAGAGGCATCAAAAGCTGGTAGTGAGTTCTGTAGCGACTTCCCCTGTCTGGGCTTGGGCAACCTGACAGTATCCCAGCCCTGGTGCTTCCTTCGGGTGGCATGGCGGCTAGGCACCGGAAGGGCGCTACAGCTGAACGATTCTGTAGCGACCCAGCCACCTGCACACTTGACTGTTCACCCCACAGTCGCACACTGGATCACGAGACTTGTCTCATTTTCATGCCCACAACCACGTCACATTAAGGTGACTCATCAGACGTCGATTGTCTGCACCGTCTAGTGAGCGTACCAACCACTCACGTACTGACGCGCCCACGTACGCGCAAACGGACCTACATATAGGGAAACCGAACGCAGTCAGCACACACAAACGCGCGCGTGCAGGGAGCAAGGAGTCAGCCAAGCACTCCAAGTCCACGGACAACTATGGAATACGTGTAGCAGCCAAAATGCGGAGAAAACACGTTCCCGCCATCCGGACTTTTACCAAGGGACTCTCACATACGATAAGTTCCCTTTTTTGGCTCGCTCCCATTTCGCACTGTATTCATTTTCATGTGTCACACCATACTAAAAACTTCTATTGGTGCACATACACCTTCTGATTTGTATTATGGCTATCCTCACCTGTGCACCAATAGTTCTCCATAATCGCATCGATAACAAATTTGAAGAGAAAGGATGAAACAGGACAGCCTTGCCTGACACCGCATGATGTGGTGAACTCAGGCGAGAGCCTTTCGTATGCTTTCGCACGTCTGCAGGAGTATGCGTACAGGACTTCAAAGGGGCTCAAGAATTTGTGGGGCACACCTTTGCTCCGCAGGCGCTGCCATGGTGCCTGACGGTCCACATAGTCAAAGGCGGCTTTCAAGTCAAGGAAGACAACCATTGCTAGGTGCAGGCAACAGTGTAGCTGTCCCGGAATCTGTGTGAGGGTGGAAATATGATCGGCGCACGACGGAACCCAGTTTGGTTGCTACGGGTCTGTCTCTCCCTGTGTTCAGTCAATCTGCGAATGGTACGTCCAGAGAGCGCCATCGATGTCACAGCTAAAAGACTGATGCCACCCTGGCTTTCAAACAGCGTCCGCGTACCCTTTTCGAAGGTGGGAATAATGGTCGACATGCTCCGTTCTGTAAGCACTTTATCTTCGCTCCATATAGCACCAAACAGCTCTGCTATGTGGGTCACCAGGGATTCTCCGTCTTATCTGAAGAGGGCTGAATACAGATCGTCCGGCCCTGGCATCTTCTCACGCCTCAGTACCGATATTTCGTACTTTATTTCTTCCGATGGGTGATTAAGGCTTGCATTACATTCGCCCCTATGCACCATCTCCAAAGGCTGGGTTGCAGTAGGCCAGCTAAACTGTCCTTTGGAGTATTCAGCCCAGCTTTCCAGTCGACCCTCTTGCAAGTGAGTTAATGAGCCGCTGTTTTCACTGACATTCGCTTTCCTAAGGTCAGTCGAGCGTACCAGTTGATATAGGGCACGGCTGTTTCCCGTGGCAAAAGCCCTCTCCATCTGCCGACCTTTCGGCGTCCACTAGGGCTCTCGGTCTTCCCTTGGGCTCTTCACTGCTTGGTGTTTGAGGGAGTTGCGTGCGCCGTCTGGTACGGATTTCCGAGCATCAATCATGACTATCGATATCGAATGATACTGTGGACACTTTCTTGTACGCTTAGCCAAATAATTATATAACCTGATGATACCGAGGAAGGGCGAATCCGGTCACGGACTGTTGAAGAATATTCAGAAACCTTATGAGTAGTGTATTATGTATACATAACAGGGTGTTTGGAGAAAGGGATATCCCAAGTGGTTGAAAATTAGCTGTGATGACCCTTATTCAAAAAGAGGGTGATAGAGAGCTTGCGGCCGATAACAGGTCAGTTAGCCTTAGATGCCTTAATGAATGTAACGGAACGAATTTCAAGAGACGGATCTGTGACGCATATGACGGAAAACAAGCTCTTGTCAATAAATCATGGACTTGTTAGTAAAAATCCGTATTTGTCTAGCCTACTGTACCTTTCAGTTGGACACTAGAAACAGGATGGGAGTCGGCCATCTGAACTTTAAAAAACGTTTGACTCAGTAAACATTCGATTCTTGTCGCTAGAATTCACTCGATCCCAACTACCCCCAGACGTTTGAGATGGATGGACGTGGTGTCGCTCAGGGAACTGTTCTTGATATGCTTCTTTTCCTTACCTTCACAAATGACTTTTCGAAGCAAAAAGTGCCCGCGCTATGCCTTTGCGGACGATGTTAAGACTGCAGGGAACTCGTGGAAAGAAAAAAATCAACACGACCTTCAGCGTGTGTGAGTGGAATTTAAGACAGGATTTACGTCCAGGTCCAAACAGGTGGTATTGTCTGTAGGACAATCTAGAAGGCACGAAAAAAAGAAGTGACCAACCAGAAGAGGAGTGCCAGCAGCCACACGTTCCCCAGGTTAGAGATTTTGGATAACAAACAGTGACAGACTGCTGCTGCAAAGACAAACGGGATACCCTTTCAGGCCGACAGGGCTGTCTCACAGGAACCCAGAGATATTCGTTCCATTCTACAGGGTCATGGTAAGACATCAGTTAAAATATTGCGCACCGGGAAAAGGGACGCAGCAACTCCAGTGTTGGCCTACCAGCAAGGAGATGTGGCCATGACCATTCAGAGCTCCATGAGTTATGCGCCACATTGACTCAAGCTAACCTACTCTGTTCTTCAGCAGTAACCACCATTAGGAATGAAAAAATAAACCGCAACTGAACTGAAAATTCAGTCAACCGTCGATGCGCCAAGAGATACACTAACAGTTTCCGGTTAGAGAACCTGGATGATTAGTAGATCTTTCTGAGAAGTCCTGTGCTTCTCTGTCGTCCAGTCCTATCAGTAATCCGAATTCCGAATAAAAAATGCAGCACCATACAACACACGAGTAATAGGTGCTATAGGGTTAGGAAAAAAGAGAATGTTGTTACAAGCGCAACGGATTCCATCAGAGGTAACTACGACTACTGAAACGCATTGATCCTCCATGCGACCGCGACTAGAATTACGGAACTGTGTTTAGTGGCAAGCTGGAGGTGGTCTTTATAGGGGGTTGCTCATCTACTCGAAACCATTCTACAGAAGGAAGGAGGTGGGGATGTCGGTACAAACCAGAGTAAGCCCGATTTTGAAAAAAAAATCCTCTTTTTAAATATCATTTTTATGAAATAAAAAGTTACTTGGCTTTCTTGAAATCGTAATACGGATACGGTACTATGAATATTAAACGCTATGGGAGTGAAGCATCGGTGTTGAACACTGTCGACGATGATGAAGCTGTGATTAAAAAAGGCTGTGTAAAATTTGGGAATTCACGATGACCAAAAGAATCAATAAAGATTCATTCCCCAAACATAGAAGTAGGTAGCTTAAGACGTGCTTCGGAATGTAACATTCTTGTAAGATTTTTCAGCTAGAAAAGAGTACAACTTCAGTGTTTCAGGAAACCATGCAAGATAATGAAGTATGTACGCGGACACGGGGCCCCCGGAATTGTCCACGAGGAACTGAAGTTTTTGATCCCTCTCCAGAGGGACGGGGTGGCGTAAAAAGCGATGTAAGCTCTCGAAATAGCTCGCTAAGCGATAGCTAAGCTCTCCGAGCGATTGAATGTGGGGACATTTTTGAATGACCGTTCGGCCAACATAAGTGCAATCGGGTGAAATAGTTAGCATCTGAAACTGTTGACATACTATGTACGATGTTGCCACAACTCGGGTTTTCAAGGTTTAGAAAACAATTTTATTGGTTGAACGCTATATAAAGAGCCTGAACAGTGACCTAGTTCCACGCAATCATCCCTGATTCACTGCTTATACTCTCGATAGCTTCAACTGTGAGCTACACCACAGATATTGATGGTATCTTTAGAGAGTTCTTCTGCACTCGCACATATCTGTTGGCAGGAGAATATTTAGATGCACTCTGTGCGAGTCCAAGATGTCTACAGACAAGATCTAGAGCACACGCGACTAGAAAAAGAACGCCGTAAACGTCGTGAACAACGAATGACAATATTTCCAATGAAACCACAATGGTGGACGCACACAGAAACACAATTTTACATCGCACAGTGGTGAACACGGGGTGAATACAAGATAGACGAGCAATATGGCAGCATTTTTCCGTTGCTGAATGCACGAAGAAGTGTGGTGACACCTGGTTGGTTTCAGTAACCGTTGCAGAACGAGTTTCGTTGCGTCCGTCGTGAACCCCAAGAAGTTGTGTTTGTAGTCCAGCCTCACCGGCAGATATCCCCTCTGTGCTCGATTCCGGAGCTTTGTCAGCCATGCTAACCATTTTTTGTATTAAACATGATTCACACAGCTTGATGCTTTTTAGCTTGTAGCTGGAACCTGAAACCAACGAGTCACCTACAGCACCAGCTCGATTCTTTTCACAGCATATATTCTGCCAGGAGATATCAGATTTCAGTTCTTTCACTCTTCAAATGACACTAGTGAAACTAGTTAGTGTGTTAATGATATGCGGATTGTTAGTCTCCTTCCATTGTAATAACTACCGACTCGGGTGACACAGCAGACACAGTGGAGAAGACGCCCCAAGTGTATTCGTCCGATGATAATCGGGAAAGCATAGTCATCATCACTGACAGCACATCAGTGCTCAACAATAATGCTTCGCTACCGCATGCTTCGTTAAAATAATTTCTGGAAGAGGTAAGGGACCAAGTAAACACGAGCCCCTCACTCTGACTGGCGGTCAGTCGATTTCTTCCCTGGTTGGAGAAACCCGTTACTACCGTTACTAGCAGGAGGTATACAAAACACTTACATGAAGTAGCGTTTCTTTAGCCTGTGCATTCACCAACGTAAATTCATTGATTGGATGATTACCATGTTCATCACATACAGCCAATAAGTCCTTCAACTTTTCCATTTGGTCCTCCTTAATGGCCTCTTCCGCCCGCTGAACAGGTGACAGCAATTTGTCAATGCAGTCCAGGAGACCACATACAGCCATCTCAATTGGCTTTGTATACTCTGAGTTATTTCCTCTTATCTAACTGGGAGGTCGGGCTGTAAAATAAAAGCGGTATTTTAAGGTTAGTAGAAATGAACATACGCTACGAAAAACCCGTAGTAAAAAATCGTCCATCTGTAGCACCCTTCCGGTGCATAGGTGCCACGCCACCCGAAGAGAACATACGGGATGAGATACTGCTAGGTTGCCCAAGCCCAGGCAGGAGCAGTCAGATGCAGGAGTTAGTCTTGAACAAAAGAAACTCTGGCTGTAAAATCGTACCCTAACGACTGAGCTACCTCAAGCTCAAAACCTATTGTGCATGGACCTACTTTAAGTAAACTGAACAAGTTTGTTTAAGTCAACACTACCTAGTGATCTGGTCGGCTTTGGTACATATCTGGTTTACATTTGGTACTGTCTGGTAAATGTTCGAGGTTTTCAGGTATATGGTTAGTTGCTAGAAGTGGTTCAGATCTGGCAAACGTCCGGTAGATGTCGGGTTTGGAAAAAACCTGAGCAGAATTACGGCATTCACAAAATCATAACACCAATTTAAGACACGTCCACAGCCCGGTTCACATTCATTAGCCTAAAAAAGATGTGTTTAAAGTCTGTAGCGGCCCAGTCACCCATATACTTGACTGTTCAACTCAATAGCTCACTGGATCGCGAGGCTTGTCTATTTTCTCATACGCACAAACACGTCGCATTAAGCTGACTCATCGGACATCGATTGTCTGCACCGCCTAGTCAGCGTAGCAACCACTCATGTGCCGACGCGCCCACATACACGCACTGGGACCTACATAAAGGCAAACCGAACCCAGTCAAGACACACAGACTCGCGCGCGCGCAGGGAGCAGGACGTCAACCTCTCCACAAGTCCACGGACAACCATGGAGTACGTGTAGCAGTCGAACTGCGGAGAAAAACACGTT